GTGGCAAGATTAGCGACGTTGATCTATCACAAGTGCCACTGGCGCTGGGGCGTTGCCTTCTGGGCCACATACTAGCTTCTGATTCTCCTGACGGGCAGACTTGTCTTCATGCGCAGGATTTGAAGCATCCACTACATTCAAATGTGTCAAGTTCAGCAATGAAGCGATCCTCGGGTGATGTTCGAGCCGATCGCTCACGTTTAGCATCCGTCTCCATGACCGAGCACACGAGAGTCTCTGCAATAGGGATGTGTCGGGTCGAATGAGATAAAATTCCCTTCCTTCCAACGTTGTTGCCACGCTCACCGTCACCATCGCGCAGCACAGTGCCTATGCACCACTCGATAGCATAAGATGCTTCACTGAGAGCGATAGGGTGCAGTCGGCGTCGCAGCAAAGAGTCAGTTGGCTATTTCGGACGTATGTCCGACTTGCACTCACTCCGATCCGTCACTTGCCACGACATAGCGCTTTGGCCTCTTATTCTGACGAGCTGCCTCTTCGTACTCCCCGTGAACCAGCGTAATTGTGCAGCGATTCCTCTCAAATACGGGCCTACTCGCGGTCAGAGCGTGCTCGCCATCAAGCACTTTACTGCCCTGTCGTTTGGGCTTGGGTGGCCTTTGCGCCTCCCCTAGGACCACGTTGGGAGCTGCCGCTAAATGCTCGTCATCTTCGTGAACAGCATTGTCCACTTCGCGAGCACCAATCAGATCGGAGCGGTGCTCGTGCTCTTCGTCATGTTTCCAAGCGTCATGTAGTCCGATGCACCCAGCGTTGTGTAGCGTATTGTCGATCGTCTGACCGCACGCAAAGGAAGTAATTAGGATGTCCACCAACACAGCTTCGGAAGAGTACTCCTGCGCAGGCAGCGGACAGTCATGCGTGCCTGCTGCTGTGCAGACCACTCACCTCGTCGTCGAAGTCGATGTAGTCATCCTCGTCCTCATCATCGTCTGTGGTCTCATCGCGGCTTTGCTCCGCATCACTCTTTGGCTCTGCGTCTGCTCCGTCTGTATGCGGCTCAGAAGGTGCTAACGCTGACTCAGTGCTGCTGCCTTCTGGCCTTGTAACGTTCTCCCATTCGTCATCTTCCGCTTCGGCGTCCGAGTCAGCGCTGAAAGCATTGTTGCGAGGCGTCAAGCCCCGCCCTTTGCGAGATGACCCAGATGTGACGCTGTCGTTGTCGCCCTCAGCATCCGTCTCCTCCCCTCTGCTCTCGTCGCCGCTTTCAGGATCTACGTCTCCAGCAGGCACTCCGAGCGTGTTGCTCTTGTCCCCACCACTGCCTTTACTTCTGCTCCTGCTTGTTCCCGGCAATGCTAACGCTCCGATGCCGCTGCCACTATTGCTGCGCTTGTGCGAATGATGCCTGAACGGACTCAGCGATCTTGCGGTAGCTTTCAGCTTGTCTCGCTTCCTGCCAGGCTTCCCAGACTGCCCATCTTCCGCAAGCGCACCGATGTGCCATGGCATGTGGGGTCCACTCGAAGGTGCGCCCGCAATGGCGATAGCAGGCAGTACTGCACCGGCGAGGGATGAGGTCGAATGAGAATGCGAGTGCGACTTGCCAAGAAGCTGCTGCGTGAAGGATCCCGTACCAGAGCCAGAGCTTCGAATAGAGGCCGAGTCAGCGCTCTTTGAAGGGCTGCCCACGGCCGCAGCGGTGTCACTGGTCACCTTGTCTTTGGATGGGGTGTCGAGAGCCGTAGCTGCTGGCGATTTCTGTAGCCGATCTATGCTGGCCGCCGCGGCTTTAGGACCAGCGACCGTTGAGTCCACCGAGCTGCCTTGCTCACTCAGGCTATCGTCAACAGGCATCTTTTTGCAAAGTGCGGCAATGATCGGTTGGAGCTGTACGTTGGAGTTGACAGTAAGCGAGGAAGCATGCCATATACGACTAACCAAAATGGAGGCTTGCAAGTCAACAGTCAAGAGCCAAAGGTGTTATCGCAGCAGCTAGCAAGCCATGCAGGGACGCATCTCCACAGCTTTTGGTCCTTTCAGCGCGCGGCAGGTACAAGCATTCACTCACACTCAAAACTATTCAAGAACGGAGTCTTGGCATCACGCGTCACGTGGACTGCCCAACCCTACACACAGCCTAGGCTCATTTGGAGACTCGATGTTGATTCAAGATGCTTGATTGCAAGACGAAAGTAGGTCACAAGGTTCAACGAGTTGGTCATGGTTCGACGTGCCTACAAGATCGCTCGCTTCTGGAGTAGCGTGTGAAGCGCAAAGGATGGACAAGATGCATCACGGCGCGAAAACACTCTTGACTAGGCCGTCGCGAACGCGTCCAGTGCTTGGGACATGCCGTGAGCAAATTGCCAACTTTGCTCCTTGCCGTTATCGTGCTGATGTTGTAAGAGACGAGCATGACACCACTGGTTGCGGAAGCCAACTGCACTCCTTCCAAAAGACCAAAAGGTGTGAGCGTCAGTAAGTCCTTGTCGAAATCCTTCCTTGAAGCGCCAGCTCTGCGAAAGAACTCCACGATCGTGCTGAGACCAGTAAGATTCGTGCGATGTGGTGGCTTGCGCTTGTGCTGCTTGCAGGGCATTCGATGGAGGTGCTGCCGAGCGACTCTCTGAGAGCATCCTTGGCAGTACACCAGCTTCTACGGCAGAATACAGGCACCATCCAGCACTGCGAAAGAGACATCGGTCACATTCAGAAGATGCTGGTGCGCGGATACGGCGCTTTACTCACTCTGGCGGGCCCTCTTTCTTCAGAGTCCACAAGTACCAGCCAGCTGTGTTTCGATTGTAGCATTGTAGCTGCGCTTGTGCCCACTGAGTCTGCTTGGAAGTTGCGCTGGGCGCATCGCTGCCTCCAAAGCTTCTAAGATTGAGAGCAGCACTCCACTCTCCGATGATCAAGTTCCCACCTCTGATGCCCCCCCCTTTCCCACCAGCTGCCCTACTGGACCAGCTCTCGAGAGCCTGATGCATGTGACCGTGTGGATGGGTCATGGTGCTCGCGTGTTGGTCGGCAGAGGTGCGATGATCTGCATCCGTAAAACACCGATAACAGTGGTGATCCAGAACAACAAAGTCGCTTCGTTGCGCCAGCCAGCCCGAGTAGTGATTCGCATCCCAAGCATCGCCAATGTAGATGGGAAGGTCGATGTTCTGCCTTCGGATAGCATCCAGAGCGCGCTCGTACCATGCCTGTAATCTTCCGTCGTTCTTCGGTTCATTGAGCAGCTCCAGACCTACAACATTGTCGTACTCGGTGACTGAGAGTCGCTCTGCAATCCGCAAGAGTATCTCGATCGTTCTTTCGCGATTCCAGTCTGCTCGAGGGCCTTGCCAGAACGCAAGCGGCGCGCCAGACAGACCCGAGTGTCCGTCAGCATTTTGCCCGCCTGGAGCGCAATGAAGGTCGATCAGCACGCCGATCTGGTGAGTCGCAGCTTTGCGAATAATCTGATCTACGGACGTCCATGCTGTCCGGTAGATCTCCGCAAAATTCTCGTACTCTGTGCCGCGCAGCAGATCGGGCGCTTGGCTTGCTGCGAATGCCGCATATGAGATAGGCAGCCTGATCGTGTTTATTCCGTGTCCCCTCATCCATTGGAAGTCACCATCGTCGATGAACTGTTGCCAATGCGTCTGCAATCGATTAAGCGAATCCGCACCGGTCGCACTGAGCAGATCCATCTCGCTAGAGGCGCTCACTATACCGGTGAAGAGGGATGGAACGAGCCATGGTTCAAGGGCAAAGAGGGAGCCAAGATTGACACCATACTGTTTGCGGTGACGATAGATGCCCCTAACTAGAGCTTTGCGCTCATCGTCACTCGCAGCTTGCTCTAAGCTGAGCGCAAGGCGAGAGCCTGGCAGTACAGTCGAATCCTTCATCTTCGGTGATCCGCGAGAAGGCCTCGACTCCTCGAGCTTCTGTGCGGCTTTGCGAAGGAGCTGCCCCAACACGCAAGGCAGGGCCCGCGCGACCAAGCATTGCGGAAGACAGACGATGCACTCAAAAGGTCAGCGTTCAGAGGATTCTGGATGAGAACGCTGTGCAGCAATGGGTCGCATCGACTTACGCTACTCATTCTGTGGTCGCTCTTAGCTGACCTCGGCTTCCTTTGCTCAGCTGGTTTGAAGCTTCACCTCAAGGGCAGCGCCACGATCCTCGGCCTGGGCGCTTCCTAGAATTTGATCCCGTCTGGTGTGTGCAGAGACGATCATGCTGGTATGAAGCTGAATGTACATCTTCCTTGGGCAGCGATGCCACCAGTGGTAGTGGTGATAGAAATTAGTATGTAGAAGCTGGGCAGGTCAGGCTATCTTGAATCAGACCTAGCTTCACTTTGATGTGGATTCTTACATTGGGCACTTTTAAACCGTGAATAACATTGATTTTCGATTTCATGCGCACTGCGACTCAAAACTGAAGAATTACTGAAGCTGAATTTTGAATGCAGCAGGGCATCAGCGCCACGTTTGCCTTCATCACGTGTCTACTGCATGCATGCACGCATGCAAGCAGAGGGAAAGAATCCATTTTTTGACTTCACCTCGACGTGTTCACGCTATTCGTAATTCATGATTTTGTTGCTCGCCCGACCCCTGCCCCAACCAGCATCACACACACACACACACACACACACACACACACACAC